GCACAGGGGGCAAACAATTCTAAAGCGGTTACAGGAAGTACACCATCAAGGAAAGGCGCTAGCAGCATACTAATCCACCCACCCCCATTCAGGAATACCAAATGAATGGGGTTATTACTAAATCCCTGGTTTAGGAGGATTCCGGATTGTACTTAGTTTTGGGTCAGTTCAATGTCCTCCAAAAACCCTTCCTAAACTGGACGTATGGCCCGACCCGGCTGACAAAAATCCGGGAGCGGCCTTAACCTCTGACACTGTCATCCACGACCTCCTAGGGTGGATCTACCAGCCGGCGTAAAACTTCGGATCCAACAAACACAGGTAATGCTGTGATTTGGCGGGATACGCATGAGAACGGAAAGGGGGTAAAATAACCCCGGGAGATCGTGGAGGATAATATATTTGGGGCCTGCGATACGTTCCCATACTCATACTCATACTTAGTGATGTGAAGGAGGGAACGTTCTCGAATGTGCTCGGAGAAGCTTCGCGAAGATTCGCGAAGCTTCAAATGAATTTGCGCGCACTTTCATGGCCTAGCATTTTGGAGCACAATCGAGAAGCTTCCCTTGAATATGCTCGAAAATTCTCGCAAAATGCTCGATCGGCGTATGACAGCCGGGTAAGGCTATGCAGTATTTCACTGTACAAACAAATAAAAATCTTTATAAGTGTAAGTTTTGTTATTCGCAATATACGAAACATGCCACAAGGATGACAACTCATTTATTGAAATGTAACAGATTCCCAGAATAAATAAAAAGATATTTGACGTCGTCAAGTAATGATTTTGTTGACGAAATTGGCGGGAATCTTGTGGAAGTTGTAGGTAAGTTATAATTATATTTTATTACTCAGGGTCAAGGCTGAGATGATTTTTATCAGTTAACAAAAATGAATTACTAAAATCATGGTTTTAATAAAAAAAATATGTTGGAAATTAACCAAAAATTAAAAAGCAAAGTTATCAAGATACATTTATTAAAAAATAATAATTAGACATCGGATCAAATAAAGTAATTGGCATTGTGACAGATAATGCCGCCGCAATGGTTAAATCCCGAAAGATAGTTGCAGAGCAACTAAAAATTATTGAATATGGATGCATTTCCCACTGCCTTAATCTTTTAGTTGGCTACATAATGAAGTGTAATAGTTTAAAAGATATTGAAGGCCACTGTAAACAAAATGTAAAAGAAATATCCAACTCAACGAATTATTGAAGAGGAGACAAGTGATAACGAAGTCTTCATGACACGTCTGATGGTTCTAAAGACTTTGAGGATCTATTAGAAAATGAAGATGTATTGGATTAGATGCTAAGCTCTTGAATAAAAATATTTTGTTTTGTTTACCGGTTTAATAATATATATTATATACCGCAGTTTGGGTACATTTTTAGTTATACACTGAGAAAAATTGGGACAAATAAACTGTGTAGCTAATACTTTTTATTAATAGTGAATTTATTGTTTATTACCTCTAAATAGTCGAAATAATAATCTTTAGTAAATTTACTAAAGTTAATTTATCGTTATTATTTCGACTATTTAGAGGTACATAAGAAACAATATATTCATTATTAATAAAAAGTATTAGCTACACAGTTTATTTGTCCCATTTTTTTCTCAGTGTAGGTATTATTTTTTCAAAGTATTATTTATATGTTTTTTATGTATCTGTTCGATTAAACCATTTAAATTTAAAGTTTTTTTATAAAGAAAAGATTTTAATGCCCAGAAAAAAGGTAATCTTCTCGAGAATATTGAGAAAATTGAGAATCTTCTCGAGAATATTGATAAAATTGAGAATCTTTTCGAGAATATTGAGAAAATTAAGATACTTCTCGAGAATATTGAGAAAATTGAGAATCTTCTCGAGAATATTAAGAAAATTAAGAATCTTTTTGAGAATATTGAGAAAAAACGTGCAATGTCCTAATTCGACTATGATGTTAATAAATTCTCGGGAATTTATCGTTTTTGCTCGTTTATGCTCGTTTATTCTCGTTTATGCTCAATTTGCGTTCTCCAAAAATAAATGCTCGAGCATTTTACATCTCTACTCATACTCATAACTCGAGTTATTTGTTATTCTAGTTGGTATGTTATTATTCATGTAATTAAAACCATTGGCATTAGAGTTTATATTTGAGATGTTTTTTAATAAAAATAGCCCCTCCTCTTTTTTTGTCTTGTGGCATACTATGCTTTTTCATTTTCTTTAACCCATAACTCAGATATCTGAGGCCAGGATATAAGCAAGGCAAGTGATTGTCGCTGGTAGCGCATGCGTAGTTCTCTGTCAGAGATGCGTTAAAACATTAAATTTTGACATGATAAGTTCGACCACGTCAATTTAATCTCTTACGACTGTGCTCGAATTAAGTGAAATTTAACAATTTTAACTAAACTTTGATATGCGGTAGCGACCCATAAAACATAATTAAATTTAAATAAAATTTTCACAAACTAGTTTTTTAGATAGGGTAATAGAATGGCAGGGTGCCCGGATAATATTTCAAAATTTCATTTTTAAGAACCACCCTACTACATATAATTTGAATCAACAGTTTTTGTGGTTAAATACATTCAATATTTTTTTGGATTTAAATTAATAGTGAATTTACATCCAAGAAAATATTAAATGTATTTAACCGCAAAAACTGTTAATTCAATTGTTAACATAATTTTTCTTTCAATGTACGAATGTGGCGCAAAAATAAATATCCAAACATGTCGGGGCACCGATGGCATAAAAAATTATGTCGACATTGAGAGAAAAAATATACTGCCATTCCACGCGTAACGGATGGGACAGTTGCAAGTTTTTATTTACAAAATAACATTGTTCTCTTATATGATTTAAATAGTTTTTAGATAATAATAAGTATTTGTCGTAGAAAAAGTATAGTATGCAATTCGTTTATAAACTTTTCTAGACACTCATTAATTTAAGCACTTGCTCGCAAGCTCGCTCGTACCTAAATTAAATTCGTGTATTAAATGGCGTTTATCAAACTTGATATGAGTACATTAGATGCAAAACTCCGTTTTTGCAAATTTATAAAAAATATATATTTTATCCTATTTATGTACATTACTGCACTGCCTACAGCATACCTAAGTAAACCAGATGCATAAGTTAATATTTGTTGAATAAAATACATTTAAAAATTTAAGGCAGATGCAAAACTGGGTATCACGTCGCTAGTATACGCATTACGTGACGACATAACAATTACCTGATTGATTGTTATTTTTGTTATTTGCACTTTTCACTTGCAAAACTTGGTCTTTGAAAGATGAAGATGCAAAACTATGTTTTTAAATCTTCTGATTTCAATTATTTACTAAACTACCTAATTTTAAAGGATTTTTTTTTTTACTTTTTTAAATAAAAATTATGCAAAAGCACGTACGTCTATTCAATTTTTTCATTATTTTTTTTTTAAATGATCTTATGAGCGGCTTTTCATGTTTTTTTTTTAAATCACTTATCCTGCAAATACAGAGTTGTGCATCTAATGTACTCATATAAAGGGTGTCCCATTAAGACCGCCTATTTTAAAAAAATGCCGTGTTTATTTAAAAAGTTAAGATATTTTTATTGCAATAAAGAGGGAAGACATGGAGGTTAAATATGGAACACAATATCCGATAAATGGCAGCCTCGTGACTGACGGCACACGTTGATTCTTTTGACAAAATTTTCGATTACATTTTGGCATAGTGCCGGCTCAATTTCATCAATGACCCGTCGAATCTTATGTTTTAGTTTGGGAACTATTCTTGGATTATTAGCATAAACCTTTTCCTTCAAAAAAACCCAAAGAAAGAAATCTAACGGCGTCAAATCGCATGATCGGCCTGGCCACATCACATCCTCGCGGGGCGAGATAACTCTGCCTTCAAATTTTGTCCTCAATAATTTCATGGTTTCGTTGCTGTGCATGGTCTGCTGTCTTTAAATATTGTGTCAAGCGAATCTTGTACACATGAAAATGCAGTTCTTTGGCCAAAAATCGCTGTAAACTGCTTCGAGATAGTCTCAATTGCTGAAAACGGTGGCGAATCGAGGTGGAAGAATTATGTTCAACACTTTCACTAACTGCTGCAATATTTTCAGCAGACCGAGCTGCACAAACACGGACATGTCTCTTTTTGGTTTGAATTGACCCAATCGTTTCAAATTGCTCGATTAATCGGACCACAGTACGGCGAGAAGGTGCGTTATGGTGACCGAAAAATCCACGATATCTTCAAACCGTTTCCGAAAAATTCTCACCATTTCGATAGTGGATTTTTACAATTTCTATGCGTTGTGCGTCCGAGTAAATCTCCATGACTTAACCTCAATGTTCACACAGGACCACTGTCCAACAACAACGCTGTACGATTGACACAACAAAAATGACACTAAATTTAAAATAGGCGGTCTTAATGGGACACCCTTTATAATATACTATAATATCAAAGTTATAAATGTTTTTGACACAAACTGTCAGAAAATAAATCTGTTAACTATTTTAAGTTAAATATGTGGTCTCAGTAGACGCGTTGTTTATTTTATTTCCAACACATCTAAATGTGTGATATAAAGGTTTCGAAAAACACAGCCTTTGTCGAGTTTTTTTAAATTTAATTGCTTATGAGCATTATTATTCTAATAACTCGCCCAGTAAATTTTAAAAAATTATGGAAAATATTTTCGACTAAATTATTTATTTATTATAAAATAATGAACACAATTTTAAATGCCGTTTCAGAAAAAAATTAAAAATTGTAAAATACAAAGCGAACACATCAACCTTTCTTGTTTATTTTTACTGATTTAAGTTGTGTGATATTTAACATAGTAAACACACAGAAATGACTTGATAAGAAAAATTGTAATCGCATGGTATGGTGTTATTAAGCCATTTTAGTTCACCCTGTATACAGTGTATATATTGTATTAAATATAATAATTCTAAAGTGAAGGATATAAATTTATTTTAGGCTCAGAAATAGACATCCACGCTGGAGGAATGGACTTGCGATTTCCACATCATGAAAATGAAGAGACTCAATCATGCGCATTTCACAATAATTCACAGTGGGTAAATTATTGGATGCATACTGGTCACCTTCATTTAAAAAATGCAGAGAAGATGTCAAAATCATTGAAAAACACAATATCCATTAAGGATCTTCTTAAAACTGTGGATCGTGATGATTTTAGAATGGCATGCACAATGTCACATTACAAATCGGCAATGGAATACAGCGAGGAGTTCATGCAAACAGCCAAAAATGTGCTGAATTTGTACAAAAAGTTTATAGTTAATTGTAGTGAATACAATAAGGGGATATTAAAGGGTGAACTAAATAGTGATATTTTGAGCAGTTTAGTTCACAATACTGCTGAGGATATCAACAAATCCTTATGCAATGATTTTGATACACCAGGTGTTATAAACACATTAAACCACGTGGTTTCTACTGTTAATGCTATGTTGCATTCAACACCTGCAAGAGAAGGGAGAAATACAGAAGTTGCACATTTAACGGCACTTTCTAATCTAGTCAAAAAAACATTAAACAGTTTTAATATTAACCTCAAAGAATCTAATAATGTAATAGACAATAGTTTTATTGATATCATGGATGTGTTTAATAACTTTAGACAGGATGTTAGGAATTATGGCATAGTGAACAAAAATAAAGATATTCTGAAATTTTGTGATTTAGCTAGAAATCAACTAAATAATTATGGTGTTGTTGTTAATGATCATGGAAACATGTCTTCATGGTCTAAAATGTAGATAAATATACGTTATAAGTTTTAATTTTGTATATTTTAAATTATACTAATAACTAATTTTTTGGGTACGCGCTCCGGCTTAATGATTTTTAAAAATAAAATCACTCCTTTAAGTACAGTTACAGAAAAAAGTAATGTCCATTTAAATGATCCATTGTAATTATTCGAAGGCATTCGGGTTTTGGTAATAAAATTAACATATTTATTTTTAAACTCAATAATTCTACCTACTTTTAGGATTTTATGCAATAATCTAAACCATTTAAAAATTTAAGGAATAAAATTGATTTTGAAATAATTTAAATATAATATATGTTCTATAATTTATTAAATAAACTATATGTTATTTAATAATAATATTAATAAGTTGTTATATTAAATTTAAATGAAATATAGACATTTAATACTAAAATAATGATAAACTTTTGCATAATTTTGCAAATAAAATTGTTTATCTACTCCTATTGCATAATTTGTTTTTTTCCGTGAATATTGATAAACATTATAAATTCCCTGCCTAACAACGTTAATAATAAACTCATTATTCACGTTGTTAGGCATCAGTGATTGGCCGATTGCAATATTTAGTGTGATTTGAACCAATCGGGTTTTAAATTAAAAGAAGGCGACTATAATAACATTTTAAAATTACTAAAAAGTAAGCTTAACCATTTGACAGAAAAATAGAATTAAATAAAATATCAAAATAAATATTACTGTGATTTATTTGTACTTAATAAATAGGTCATTAAAATACGTTACCAAATTTTTTTTTGTTATAAAAATTATGTCCATCTTTAGTAACGTTTGTGCGGCTTTAATAAATTATGTTTCGCTATTAAAAATGATATGTTCCGCTTTAAGGGCAAAGCGCCGAGTCCGGCCTAGCAACCCCTAGACTCGGGGAACCACCAAATTGTAAATGATGTCGATATTACACGATCGCCAAAATTTTGAGATTTACGGGTAATTGTTGATACCTAAATAAAATGCTGCAAAAATTAAATATATTTTGACCGGTCAAATAGGTAGCGGTCAATTGACAGTTAATTGACTGGTCAATTGACCGCGGTCAATTGACCATCCCTAACTCTAATAATAACCCTCTTTAATGTATTAACGTTTTTATGTGATTTTTTGTTATCTGGGCAATTTCAATTAAAATATTTATTTTGTGTAAATTAAAGCCATTAAAATTTTAAACTAAAATGCATTATGTGCTTATAAAAAGAAATGCACTTTTAATACGTTTATCACCATTTTAGTTTTCATTATTTGTTTTATGAAATAACTGCCCGATACCAACTTATTTTAATGTATAAAAATCCAATAAAGTATGAAAACGGCATAATTATAATTATTATAATAATTGGAGCTTGGTATTCCCAAATGGTCTAAGTGTCAAAAATAAAATTGTGAGTAATTAATGAAAATACCACTAAAAATTTGCCACAATTTCAAAGTTGATTTTCTCGCGAACCGTCAAAACGAATTTGTTGATTTTTTTATTAAATTGTAGGTTTATTCTTCGGTAATAATGCGTTTATTGAAATATTTTTTCAAATTTACATTTTGAGTATATACAGGGTGCACGAGTCTTAATAAATTTTTTTCCGGAAATTTGAAACAGCATATGACTCATATAATTAAACCATAGCCCCATATTTTCTTAACATTTTGTTTTTTTATTCACGTCGCTATCTCTTTTTTTAAATGAGATATACGTTAAAGACTAAATAACTCCAGTTTAATGTAAAATAAATAATGCTGTGCAAATGTCAGAAACTATAATTTGTCTGCATAAAATTATTGTAATGGAGCGCCAAGTGAGAAATTTGAATCGTGATGAATGTGTAAGAATTATTACATTAGCCGAGCAAGGATTAAGCTACCGTGCCATAGCTCGGAGATTGTTAATCATACCTCAATATCCCGTGTTATTCGACGTTTTGAAGAAAACACCCAATAAACATTTTTCTGACTTCCGACTAAACTTGCACTATGTTCGACGTCGCTTTAAGTGAAAATTGCGGTCGGATAATATCCGAAGTCATCGTTCGACGTATATTTACGTCGCGACTTGACGTTCAACCGACGCGTCGGTTGAACGTCAAGTCGTACTTTGGTTAAAAAAAAATTAAGAGAATTGTTCGACGGGAATATAGTCTGGAAGAAAGAAGAAGAAGAAAATAGTTTAAATAACAATGTTAAAATAAAAAAAATGCCAAAAGAAAAGAAAAAAAGAATTTTTGTAGTGTTTTCGTCAGCCTTTTTCTGACACACTTTTTTGGCTAGTTGCGGTATAAAATTTTCTTTAGCCAATTTATATGATGGTACATCATCATACTCTTTATATTTTAGGGAAGGTTTTACCTCTCTTATTATTCATGAAACAATTGTTATTAATAATTGTGGTAACTCAGTGTCAGAGACTTCAGCATCTGAACAAGAGCACGAGGCCCCCATACATATATTGCAATATATGTATGGGGGCCTCGTGCTCTTGTTCAGATGCTGAAGATATTGTTTGCAGCATCCGTGGCAAATTTAAAGGGTGCATAGCCTTGCACTTATATTGCCTCCAATTTTTTTTATCGGGAGAACTATTAATTTGTTCTCAAAAGAGAATCGTTTGGCTCACTGATTTGGGGAACCAGAGTGTCTCCTTCTCTTTCCACCTATGCGGCACGGGCTCCACTTCCCCCTTGGGGCAAATCCTTAACATACACCATTTTAAAATGCTCCATAATAACATAGACAACACACAATAATAGTACCAATATTGGACCGAATTAGTAAAGCTTCCCTTACAGAAAAAGCGCAGTTTTTCAGTTTGACATATGATTTTCAGGTTAGGTAGGTCGTTACGAGGGAAAAATAGGTAGTTTAAATGACTCGAGGTCTCAAACTTCGTCGGAAATTGGTATTTCGAGCTACCGACGTCTTTTATTGACCGTCGGTTGGTAGGTATGTGGACAAATTTGGTTAATTTGTTGACTACGCCATTTTCGCGAACAAAACGAAGAGGTGACGATGGACGCCATTAAAGAAAGATTTGCTTTTTTTTAGATTTTTACGGTTCATTGAAATAAAATAACAACTTTTTTATGTTTTTTAAGTTAGTTTTTTAGAACTGGTTCAAATTTTGTTTAAAAAATACATTTTTATTAAAACTTATTTTTTTTGCAAAAATAATTAAATATGCAAAACTGAAAGATTTCTTGAAGCCCACGCATGTTTTGCCAGCAATCATAACCATATTTATCAGTAAAGTGCCTTTCGTATGGATATTTCAATATAGATCACCCCCAAGATAACATTTATGACTCATTAAAAAATCACTCAGTGATAATCATCGCGTGAGCTCACAGTGAACTCACTATGACATCAAATGTATTTCTGTGAAATCACCTGGACCTCACCTGGAGCTCATTAGCTGAATCATATGATTCAGCAATATTGCTGAGCTCATCCTGATTTCTTGATGAGATCATTTGTGAAATTTCACAAATGATCTCATCAAGAACTTAGGATGAGCTTAGCAATGATTCAGCTAATGAGCTCCAGGTGATTTCACAGAAATGCATTTGATGTCATAGTGCCATAATTTAAATTTATAACCTTAAGGTTTTTCTCTGAACTATGCAAGTGCATAACAGGGTTGCCATGGTATCAGAGCTGTGCGGTACTCGAGTACTTGTACTCTAATTTTGTACTTTAAGTACTTTTTATGTACTCGGTACTCAGTCCAGAGTACATTTCAAAAAAAGTTCTTGTACTTGTACTTATAAATATATTTAAATTAAAAATGTAAAAATGGACACGAGTACATTGGTTGTACTCGAGTATATTTTTTGTACTCAAGTACATTTTTTGTACTCGAGTACATTTTTGTACTCGAGTACTTTCGTTGTACTCGAGTACATTTAATGTACTGGAGTACTTTTTGTACTCGGCATCTTTGTGTTAAGTTAACATAACCACTACTACATATTCAAATTTATCGCCATAATTATAATGCTTTCAAGTTTAACGGTTCGGCAATATTCGGAATAAATCCTCGATATGGGCAAGTTGGTAAAATATCATTGTGGTGCCCTACTTTATAGAGATATTACATATTACAAGAGGTAGTGCCCTTTTTTATCTCTGGTAGTGCCGTCATAATGTCGTATGTAAAGGTTTTTTTATTAAATTTGAGATTATTCTGCAATACAGAATGTGCATTAGTATTATTTTAAGTGTTTTGGTTTTTGTTATATTAGGGTAAGTAGGATTTTAAATATTATTTTGTATTTGATTAAGTTTTTGTTATATTTGGTACGCTTAAAAAGTTAGGTTATATTTTTGCATTCAATCTTGTTTTTTTTTTGCAGTCATAAATTTATGCATTAATGCATGTTACTTTAATATAATTTCGTGCTTGCAGTTAAATAATGAATAGGCTATTTATTAAATAAAATATATAATAAATTACTTGCATGAATAGGTATATATATATATATATATACCTACAGAGGCGTAGCTAGGTAACTAAAGGCCCTGGTGCAAAAAAACTGCATGGCTCCCTAAAAAAACTGTTTAGGTTTTATCAAGTCAAAATATTAATATCCCAGATAGCACAAAGAAGTAATAAAAACGTCCTGAGTATATCTTGTATCAGACATTAGTAAGTTCCGAGTACGTCCGAATCAGGTCCTGAACCTTCCCCAGGACGTTCCAGGGACATCCGATGTTACCAAATTGTCGGTCCCCAGAACGTCCTAAGAAATGCTTTATTGGGGACTAATGGACAAGCTTTACAGAATTGAAGAGTTGTATTCCCAAAGGCCCAGACAGCAATATGACGTCTTAATTAAGTCTTATTTTATTAATTTGTTAAATGGATTTTATTAAAATCATTTTAATAATTTGCTCGTATTCGCTTATTTTAGGAATTGCGATTACTTCGTCTCACTTTTGTTTAAATTTAAGCGTGCTCTTCACCGGCACCGATAGACGGCCTGTT